CAGAAATTATTCTTTCCAGGATAGCCTTGGTCTGAGCACTTGGCAGTGAGAACCTGTCCATGCTTCACAGAGCTGCAGGGGACAGATTCGCAGGGCTTCCTGACGCAGTGACATCAGCAGAAGCTCATAGACGAGAGCCCTGTTTCGCCTGGATGTCCATGAGGACATGGGCCTGGGATGTGCCCCTCACTGTGTGTTTGCATGGCAGTCTCTAGAGTGGATCGGGGTCAGGACTTCAATTCCCAAGGCAAAACCTTTCTCAGTTGATTTGTAGGGAATACAGAGGAAATAGATCCCTCCATGTAAATGCAAGGTGTTGACTGTCCTGGAAAGGAGGTTTGTGACAAATAGTAACATTGAAATTGGAAATAAAAACATAAAAAGCAGAACAGAACTTGACTCATACAGGTTTCCTAGTTAGGGCTTGATTACACATGCACATACCAGCTGTCAATTTATTACTAATACTTAGAACTGAAATAATGTAACTTAGAACCAGCTTAATAAAAATACCAGCAGCACAAACTGTCTGGCAGCCAGTGCTTATAGCATAGCCACCTCCCCACAGGGACCAATTTCTCCCTGATCCCTTATTTAATGTTCAACATTCAAGAGAGAAGATTTAACGTTCTTTCTGGATTGTTTGGAGATTTATGGCACCTATAGAAACATTCATAAAATCTGAGGCCGGGCAAAGGCTTTCGGCAGCCGTCTCACTGTTATCAGGACCATAAAAATCATCACCCTCCTGTCCATGGCCGGTCTTGTCTTTCCAGATAATATAATCCAGAGAAAAATAAAGTTGCTGCCAAGTGCCTGCTTTTAGTAGACTGCTGTCGAGGGAGTGTGTGATGAGTGGACGGTGGTGTCAGACCGGGAAAGGGCGCAGGACAGCAGATCAAACTGTATGTGTTTGAGGGCTTAAGAGGAACTTTGTGAAACTGTTTCTGGGACAACTCATTTGATCTGTCAGAAGGATATTGTTGTGCACACTTGATTCCCTTCAGCCTGGTTCTCTGGCCTAGCTGGCTGGGGAGCACCGGTCTCCTGAGTACAGACAGGAGGGAAGCAGGTGCTTCAGCTTTCAGCATCTGGTTCAGATGACCACCAGGCCGAGAACACCTGCAGCCTGCATTTCAGCCAAGTCTGGCCTCCCATTGTATGCATCGGACTTTCTGCCTTGAGCAAGAAAAAGGCATTGTTTATCAGATTTGCCAAAGGATCTCCGGGGAGGTGGGGAGAGACAGGATAAACAAACCTAGAACAAAACGCAAGTGTCAGCAGAGCACGGGGAGACCTTGATTACATGTGACTCCCCAGGGTAATCTTTCAACCTGACACCAAGTGAGTGAAGCCAAGAGAGGGAGCCGAACGCTAGCAGGACCAAGACAGTTTCCCCCCTGGTTTCTGAGCGAACTGACCCTGGCTAGTCTCGTCCAGACCCTGTTCCTTAGGCAGAGGCAGTAATCAAACCACACTCATCAAAGTCTAATTTGTGCCCGAGTTGGGGCCATGAGGTTTCAGAGATGAGCAGCTGCTACCCCGTAAGGGAAAAACTTACAGAGAAGAAGACCTTGCTATTTAGGTACCGATGTTCCATGCGCTTTCTGATTTCACGTTTTGTAATAACTATGCATTGGGTGAACTGGATCCGTGCAAATCATACCAAGAGTAAGAAACTGGGTTTAGACGTCTCTAACTTCAGGTGAGCAAAAGAACACAGCTGATCCGACAATATAATGCCACCTCATGATTGGCATATTGGGACAAAACTAAAATGAGTGAGAGACTATTATTTCCAGAGACTCAGAAAGCAGTTTAGGGATACCATATAAAATGTTTTGTTAGTAGGTCACGCCTAAGGTGCCCCTTCCCTCTCTTTCCTTTGTATAGAGCGCCAACTAGCGGAAAACTGGAAAACTGCACTTAAAGAAAACCATTGAAATGGGGATGTGTGTGTGCAGAGGGGATGGCGGTGCCAGACCAGGAAAGCAGGTGCCACACCTGCTTCCCTCCTATCTGTACTCCGGAGACCGGTGCTCCCCAGCCGGCTAGGCCAGAGAACCAGGCTGAAGGGAATCAAGTGCACACAACAACATCCTTCTGACAGATAAAACAAGTTGTCCCAGAAACAGTTTCACAAAGTTCCCCTTAAGCCCTCAAGCACATACAGTTTGATCTATGGGCTCCCACAGGTTACGGGCCCATAGGATCTTAAAGATGCTGCCCTTTTTGGGGAGTGGAGATAAGGAGGAGGCGCTCAAAGGGGAGGGGTGTGTGAAACTGGCTCCTACTTAGCCTTTTACGGAGGAAAGGGCGAACTGGTGCTGGTGAAAACATGTACAACCTCTTACATGTGAAATGAGTCAGTGCGCTGTGTCTATAGCTACTTTGGGAAAGGAAAATATTTTTGAGTTCAGAACTTATTCTTCTTGAAGGCTTTCTTCAAAAGAAAGGGAGACTCTGACACAAAATTGCATGAATTGGAGGAAAGAGCCCTGGTTTCACAAATTAAGTGAGCAGACAGCCCATGATGGTGTCAGACCCGGAACAGAACAGTCAAGACTGTGTGTCCTTGGGGTCGGGGAGGGAGATGGTAGAAGAGCAGGTGGATGCAGCAGAAGGGAAGGAAAGGCCTAGAACCTCACTAATTAAGAATGGAAAGATCTACACCTGGAAGAGCAATGGTACAGATTTTCAGAAAGGCATTGAATCTGTGGGGCTTGTTTTCAGTTTTGTTACCCCTCCATTTCAAGGAATCTTATTTTTGTGTGTGTGGGGGGGTCTTTAAAGGAGTTTTGGCCTTACCAAAAGGTACCAATAAAATGCAGGCAGCCTGGAGAGGTTATAAAAATGCAAGATGAACTCATCAATCAAGAGTGCAGTCTGTGTGCAGTGGGGGGTCCACGGACTTACAGAACTCCCTGAACAAGATATGCAGATGTGTGTGTGTGCATCTTTTTCTGAATTTTCTAGCTTTACCAATTCTCAAAGGGGTCCATAACCCAGAAGAAGAAGGATCATAACCACACAGGAATTTGCACATAGACAAAAACCGTCACATTTTAATGGATACCCCTCAGAGTTCAGAACATTTCACTGTATCATCTAGCAGATTGGATTCCTTCTTGTTTCCCGTGCGGTGGCTCCAGACAGAAAATTACTAGAAGTTTCCTTTTGCATTTGGCACTGGTAGATGGCAGAGGGGTGCCCTCCTCAAACCTCACCATAGCGTGCATGCCGGCCTTGAGCAGTTTCTGAGACAACTGATGTCCATTAGCCAGCTTTCTTCTGTAGGCACCAAACATGGTTTATGCTCAAAAATTCAAAAGCAGTAGCAATCATTTTCTCAATAGATTCAAATGTGGAAAATGGGGTGATGGGAGGGGAAATGTTTAACTTAGCACATTCCTTGTTATCAAAGCTAAGTTAAGAAAGTAGAATTTTTATACTACTTACTTAACGTTTGTGGTGGTCATTAAATAAACTCTCCAGTCCTTCATTTTCGTTTGAGAAGGGGTTTGTTTAAATACCACTTATTTGAACATCATTAAGACTCTAGAGTTCAAGGATAACTAGGGTGATAACACCATGGTGATGTTATCTAACTCTTTTATGGCATCAGCTTTCCCATAGATTTTATTTAACAAATGACTGAGTTGTGAAGAAAAGTTCTTCTATTAATCTGTCTGTCCTCGCCTTCACCTCGCAGCTAGACTAATCGGACCAGGGGGGGTTCGGCAATAACTATAACTAGGGAATGCACATCATCTGTAAGTAATCCGCTGTCAGTTGGCATGTAGTCCCATGTCACTAAGATTTTCCTTCTGAGCTGGTAAGTCACACCCTCTGTTCTTTCCACCTCCGGCAGGCGTAACTGTGTTTTAAAATTCATGAAAAACAGAATGAGTAGCTAATTTAAGAAGTAATACAAAAACTTGCCTACGTTTCTTTTTGGCTTTCTGAGGCTTCTGAGACTATAAGACATGTATAATTACTAGAAGTTTTTGTGTTCTTATTGGAACAATTAGGCAGAGGTCTTTAGGAAAAAAGATTAAAAAAAATAAAGAAAAAAAGGGAAAATTTTTTTTTTTTACTCCCTTACCCCCTTAACAAGATCATTTTAAAAGTTTATTTTAAATATTATAACCACAAACTGTTCAACCAGACGAAAATGAAAGTAGGCCACTTAGAGGTTTTTGTCTAAACTAAAGCAAAATGGCTTAAACTAATAATATTAACCACTGGGAGGTCACTGGCTACTAAAAGCAGTTACTTGGAAATTAAGAAGGAAGCATTTTAAATATTACATCTGAATCTGTAATGTTTCTCTTGCCAGACACAGAGTATAGTATTCTTTCTTCCTTCCCCTTAGGACCTCAGTGACCTCCCTGCCTGTGCAGTGAAACCCCAGACTTGGACTTGAGCCAGCTGCCTTTCCCCACATCATTAAGAGCTCTTGGAGGGGCTGTTAAATGTAAATTTTCCAGCACTCCTTCCCCAGACAGATTGGCAAGGCTGAAGCCATCGCAGCATGTTTGTCACACCCAGAAAGGAAGAAAAGGGGGGAAGCTTTCAAAAATATGTGTTAGCAAAGTAAGGGTTAGTGCAAAGGAGGCCATTTCTCTGACTTAGGGGTGTCAGAGTCAGATACACACACACCTCACAAGACCTCCTGGATAAAAGCAAACCTGCCAGGAATTGTAAAGGACTTAGGTGCACGCCCTCAGAGAAAGAGGTTTTGCAGGCTGTCTCAAGAAGGCAAGCAGCCCAGAAATAAAAGGAGGCCACTTACATTCCCTCTGCTCTAAGCCTTAGGATTTCCTCAAGCCTGGTGAAGATGCAGTGTGGGGCCTGGGCAATCCAGAGAAGTATGTACACACATGCATGTGCACACAAAAAACAAACCAAAAGAAAAGGGGGAGGAGGAAGGAAGGAAGGAGAAAGGGAAGAAAAAAGAAAAATCTGTATTTCCATTAAGTTCATATTCTCATCTTAAGCCCATTATAGGTTGCAACATGCAGGTGAAAATAACAAGGTCCGCTCAGGAGAGGGGTTCTGGAGGCGAGCCACACCCCCGCAGCAGAGCTCGCTTTAGCTACCGGTCTAGACTTCACTACGTGACATCATCTCCCATCTACTGTGACCTGTGATGTCAGTTGAATATCCAGCCATAAAAGGACGCAGAAGCAGCCAGCAAATGGGAGGACTTTCCCCTCATTTCACAGAACTCTACCAACATGTGTGGAAGCACAAGTCCCTGAGCACATACACACTGAATTCCCACTTGCCTGTGATTATGTTGCCACCTCCACTGACTACCCAAATTGATTTCTAATTGATTTTGGAATACATTTCAAATTACTCTACCTCCTGGTATGCATTTAGCATAATCTCATATTCCTATTTTAGCACATTCTGATAGAATCAGAGGCCTGGATCATAGTGAAGGGGACTGACTGAAGAAGTGGCCTGACATGTTTAAAGTAACCATGGAAATGTACAAAAGAGATGATTGATACTAAGATAATGAGACCATGCAAATATTTCCTTTTTATTGTCTTCTTTAGCCTAATTAATTCCTTTCTAATGACTGTTTAATCTTATATGCATTTCCAAGTAATTCCACTATGGTTTTTCTCATTGATTTCCACAATGACTAATTGTGCTAAGTGAAATATTCTTAATTTTTCTGGGGCAGAAGTGTAGACCTTGGGAGTATTTCAACTTTTTTTAGTAACTGATAACTTTTCCTACTCACAGATCAGGGTTGAGTTGATGACAATTTTTTAAGAAACTGACTTTCTTGAAAGAAAATAAAAGCTGACTCTGAGCAAGTCTCAAGACTTGAGAAATCTGAGTTTTAGCTGTATTTTTTTTGTCAGTAGATAACTTTTAGCAAATCAACTCAGACATACAAAGAAAATATAGAGTTGGTTTAAGCAACGTATCAACAAAAACACAAATATAGAAAAGGCAAATTGCATCTCCATAAATCAACATATCTGGGGTCTGGTATGTCTGTCCAGCCCACAACAGACAGAAATATGGGTTATGTTTTGTGAAGCAAGGTTCTAATTCTAGAATTTTGGCTACATGTTCTTTATTCCTTATACCTGTTTTCAAAGGACCATGCCATTAGTATCCACATATTTTTTGTTAAAAATGTATTGATGTGTATTTGCAATACCCTTGAGACAGATACCAAAATGTTAACATTGGTATCAATACAAAGTAACATAAATGCTCTAAAGGAAAGAGTGAGAGAAAAGAAAGAAGAAAAATCATCTCATATCTGTATTATTTCATCATTAGAGTTACATTAAAAGTAGAGAAAAGAAAGGTGTGCATGTACATACATATATAAAAAGGCATACACACTTATCTCAAAAACATGCCAAATCTCCATTTAAATTCCATGGTGTTTATTATTTTGAACCCATCTAAAATTTCTTCTTACTGAGATGTTTGGACTAGGCATGTGTAATAAGTTGTGGGCATTTGTCTAGTAGGAAATTTTCAGCCATTAATATAATGTAATTTCTTTTAATTTCTACTGAAACATAAAATTCGATACTTTTCTGCAAACGCAAAACTAGGCTCTATGTCTACTGTGATATGAGGGATTGCCTAAAATGGTTTTCTCTTACTAAAACCTTTCTTATACTTTGAGAACCATTTAAATATATATTGGGCTAAAATTGATCTTATGAAACCAGTCCCATTATTTTTTATAGGCCACATATTATAACTGTGAATATTGTTTCTAAAAAAGAAAAAATAGTCATTAGAACTCTATTCCGTGTCCTTTCAAACATATTGAAAAGAAATCTTCTTGTGGGGACTAAACAAGCAGGAATTTTCTATTAAAGGGTTCCTCCTCCAATTTCTGGAGGCAAAATAAAAAGTTGTGACTTAATAGTATCAATTTTTCATTTGAGGGCCAGTAAACAATTGCAAAGTCCATGTGCCAGTAGTTTCTGTGTTCATTTCTTAGGAATAACGAAACACAAAAGTTAAGTGGCCCCGAACAGCAGAAATGCAGTTCTGGAAGCTGGGATCAAGGTGTCCTCTGTACCAAGCTCTCTCTCGTAGAGATCTGAGCAAGGTTCTTTCCCTGCGTTTTCAGACTTCCGGTGTTTGCCAGCGCCCCTTGACACTTTTTCTCTTCTTGAGGCATCACTCCACGCACAGGGCCATCTTCTTTCCATGGCTTCACAGAGTTGCCCTCTGTGCTGTCTCATGTCCCAGTTTCCCCTTGTCGTAAGGGTACCAGGCACCCCCTACGGACCTCCTCTGAATCTGATGCTCTCTATAAAGACTGTTTCCAAATTCAAAATGTACCTCTGGATTAAAGATAAATTTAAATGGTCAAACTTTCACATCCTTACTAGGAGAATACAAAAACTTTCAGGTCATATCTCTGTTGCTAAAAGCTAAAGTTAATCTAGCATTCAATAGGAAATAGTCATTAAGAAAATAGATTAAAATTCTGGATAACTCTATTCTAAAAACTCACCATTTGTCTAAACAGTATATGCTAATCTCACCAGAAGTGCCCATGGGTAGATATGAATGTATTTTTACTTTCTCCTTGAAGTTTGTAAGAGGAATGTATCCAATACTTACATACCCATTATATCTGATGGAAGAAATGGGGCTTGCTTACACAAACAGGATCAAACACCATTATTTTCCCAGAGGCCAACTATGTATATTTATGTGAATTAAGAAAGGGGGTTCAGGGACAAGTAAGTGGCTTTTGTATTTTTAGGTATGCTAACAATAGCAAAGATCCCACCTCCCCGATTTCTGAGAGTTCTTAGGAAATGCTTAAATTCAAGGACTGGGTAGCCAGTCAATACCAGCACCACACCTCAGTAGACATCATTAAACCATCAGAATCAAACAGTACCTCAACTTCCAGTATCATTGGAATGTGATCAGCATAACAATTATCACTCCTTCACTTGTGAGTGACAGAAACCCAATTCAAATCACTAAAGCCAAAAAGGGAGTTTAGGGGCTTATGTGACAAAACTGTCCCAGAAAGGCCTGATTCACCATTCAGACAGTGTCAGCAGGAGTCAGATTCCGCTCACCATTCTCAGCCCCATTGTTCAGCTTGGGCTCCATTCCGAGGTCACACGTGGGTGCAGGTCACTAACAGCAGGTTAGAGGACTACATTCTCCTAGGTTCAAATCTGTCTAAACGAGTAAACACCTGTGTCCCAGCATTCCCAGCATTCCCAGCAAAAGCCCCAAACTGACTGATTAGTGCGTCTTAGATCAGATGGTCGCCCCTGAACGAATCACTGCAACTGAAGGAATGAAACTGGAGTCCAGCTAATGTGCTCCGCCCTGAGGACCCTCCCACAAAACTGGGGGCGGAGTGGCTTCTAAACCGAAAAGTGATTCATCTCTAAGGATGCTTGGCAGTGTGACAAGCCAAGCCAACACTGCTGATTTGCTTAAAAACGCTAAGCAAATGGATAGAAACTTTAGGAGTCTCCACCGGAAAGAGGAATTGTGTTCAGATCCATTTGGTCCTTTTATTTGGCTTCTGCTTGTGAAGATGGTAGACTCCATTAAAACCAAAATGGGCTGTTTAGGGAATCCAGAGATTTCACTCAGACGGTTTGGGAGCTGTTACCTCAACACAGTTCCATCCTTAGATATTGTTTGAATGCACAATCTGCACGCCTTTGAGCCTTACACCAACTGAGAAGAGGTTTCTAGCGTAGCCAGAGCCTGAGAAGGACCCCAAAATGAGGCTATTGATGCAGAGCTCTGTGGATTAAGTTCGACACCTTGAATTTCATGGGCAATGAACAGGAGTTGGGGGACAGAGGGAGGGAGGGCAGCTAAGGGAACACAGGTGTGCCATGTACATTCTTAAGTCCACAGGCAGCCATATTCTATTCAAGCTGCATTCCCCGGGTGGTCCAGCTAACAAAGCTTCCTGTCATAAAGCCATCGCTCAGTACAAGGCAAGTGCATTGTGAATGCCAGGTTCAAAACAGTTCATTGAAAACGTCTTGGTTAAGTAATTAAAGCTGGCCAAGCTTTGGGAAATTCTCCAGGAGGGAGCTCATTTTGAGAAAAGCTCTCCAATTCATGTTTCATAAGCCAAGGGTAAGCTTAGTTCAGATGAACAATGCGTGTGCACTCACACACACACACACACACACACACACACACACAGAATCTGGGATCAAAAAGTAGAATTGAGGTCAGGGTTAGACCACAGCAGAAGTGAATTCGCTCAAAGAAAACTAGGTATTTGTCTCCAAACCCATCTGTTTATTGGATTGTTTTGCTTGATTGCTACTACTTGTATCTCCAGATTCAAACCTATGTCAGGAAGATGGCAGGTGAAGCTGTATACAGTTCTTTTCTGTAGCTCAGTTCTTTTCTTCTTTGAGCAAAACCCAAAAACAGATCAGATGCTTTTCAAATGAGTAAAAGTCTAGCAGTATTTTATCTTCCACTAGTCTGAAAAAAAACAAATAAAATAAAATGTAGTCATTCCTAAAGATCTTTAAAAATGTCACAGACAAACATCTACTGTCTCTCCTACGTCCTATCCTGTGCCTTAAGGTCAGATAGTCAGGATAATATTTCAAAGTTGGAAATTGGAAAAAAGAATGTCCAATTCTATCATTTAATGTATCTGTGGAGGCTGTGTGTTTTCCTTTTTTCAGTTTGCAGAAATTGCCTTCCTGGTACTTATCGGTCTCCTAGGACTCTGTGGTAACAGTAGCTGAAAACAGCGCAGATGTACGCTCTTAGAGGTCTGGAGGCCAGAGGGGCAAAGCATCTTACTCAGCTCGAGTCAAGGTGCTGGATGGGCCGGTACCCTCAGGAGGCTCTGAAGGCAGAAGCTGTTTCCTAGCCTGTCAAGCCTCTCATGGCCCAGGCACTGCTTGGCTTCTGTCCCCTCCCTCCAGTTTCAAAGCACGCCGCCCCCTGCCCCGTTTCATGGGCACATCACCTTCTCCCCTGGCACCAGCACCTCCTGCATCCCTCTCCGAGGACTCTTCTGACTAGCGATAACCCAGGACTCGCTCCCCAAATCAAGAGCCTTACCTCAATCTCGTCTGCAAAGTTCCTGTTGCCATATAAAGCAACATGTACAGGTTCCAGGGATTAGGACGTGGGCATATGTGGGGTGTCATTATTCAGCCTACCACAGTACTTCTTCAGAAAATTGGGTTGATATTCTGACATTGTTCCGTGCTTTCAGTTGTTTTTTTTTTAAGTCTGCGTGTGCTCATTACTATTCGGAATTGTAATCTCTTCAAAATACTAGGGTATACTTTATTCCCTTGAGGGGCTTTCCACTGGGAAGCCCAGGCTCCTTCAGCCAGTTAGAGAAGGGTTAAATGGTAACTGGGAGGCATGCCCGGCCTTCCTGAGGACCCACTTTGTGTCAGGCACCACAGAGGATGCAGGATATGAAAAGATGAATGAGTTACGATCCCTAACTGGAAAGAGGAGTCCAGAGAGTGGAGAGATACACATGGGGAAAAAGTCTGTACATACAGAGAAACACTGTAGTTTTACATATCTACAAATCGCCTTACAGACCCGATGAATTCACTGGAAAAAGCGGTGACCTGGCTTAGTCCAGATGTCTAGGCTTTTCCAAAAACTTAGCAAAATGAGTTGCGTTTCCTTGGAAAGATCACGTCGCTTCTCTGATTGCTCTGAGTTTTAGCAACTTGCTGGTTTCGTTCGTCTGTGAGTTTTCTGAATAGCTTCTAGATTTTAAGAAAAAACTGTTGTCAGTATTGAAATTGGTGGAAAACACACCCT